CCCTGTGCGCATGTGTTATTCAAAGTAAACAGGCCCTGTTAGCTTAAATAAACCAAGAGAAAGCACATGTGCAAGATTTCTCTGGGAGACACTTGTGAGGTAACTCTCCCAGGAGGCAGCTGTGAGAAGCTGGCTACGTCACCAGCACCTCAACACACCAGGAAGTGGGCAGATATAAAATGTAGGAAACATTAAAAGTCCTTCCAAAAGACTGTACAACGATATGATGTCAGCATGCAAAGAGATATGTTCTCTTCTGCACTGCACAGGCTCCAGTTCTTGGACTATTGAAAATAATTGGTTCATTCTTGCATTTCATAATAAATAAATTAATTCGGTATCCACAAATAGGTATTGTCCAAAAAATCCTGTGTAAAATTCCTTCAGAAGAAGTCCAGAAGTGACAAAACGCGTCAGAAGACGTGACATCTGATGTAATCTTCAAACCGGAAGTGGCAGAGCAGCCATCTTTACTATTGGAAAAAGCAGTATAATGTTCCAGGAAGCTGTTCAGGCTATGTCATGGGAATATGCTGCTGACAGATGAGATCCTTATATGTAAGCACTACTAAATAAATGCTTTATACTCTTTATACTACACTACATTGGCTTCCTTTTCTATTTATGAGGATGATGGAGATATGAGATGTTTGCCTAAAGATTGGAACCCCATCTGTAAGATTCTGAAGTGAGAGTCCAGGAAGTGACTACAACACTGGAGTGAGAGTCCGGGAAGTGACTACAACGCTGGAGTGAGAGTCCGGGAAGTGGCTACAACGCTGGAGTGAGAGTCTGGGAAGTGACTACAACGCTGGAGTGAGAGTCCGGGAAGTGACTACAATGCTGGAGTGAGAGTCCGGGAAGTGGCTACAACGCTGGAGTGAGAGTCCGGGAAGTGGCTACAACGCTGGAGTGAGAGTCCGGGAAGTGGCTACAACGCTGGAGTGAGAGTCCGGGAAGTGACTACAACGCTGGAGTGAGAGTCCGGGAAGTGACTACAACGCTGGAGTGAGAGTCCGGGAAGTGACTACAACGCTGGAGTGAGAGTCCGGGAAGTGGCTACAACGCTGGAGTGAGAGTCCGGGAAGTGACTATAACGCTGGAGTGAGAGTCCGGGGAAGTGGCTACAACGCTGGAGTGAGAGTCCGGGAAGTGGCTACAACGCTGGAGTGAGAGTCCGGGAAGTGGCTACAACGCTGGAGTGAGAGTCCGGGAAGTGACTACATGCCGGAGTGAGAGTCTGGGAAGTGGCTACAATGCTGGAGTGAGATTCTGGGAAGTGGCTACAATGCTGGAGAGCCCGGGAAGTGACTACAACGCTGGAGTGAGAGCCCAGGAAGTGACTACAACGCTGGAGTGAGAGTCCAGGAAGTGACTACAATGCTGGAGTGAGAGTCCGGGAAGTGACTACAACGCTGGAGTGAGAGTCCGGGAAGTGACTACAATGCTGGAGTGAGAGTCCGGGAAGTGACTACATGCCGGAGTGAGAGTCCGGGAAGTGGCTACAACGCTGGAGTGAGAGTCCAGGAAGTGGCTACAATGCTGGAGTGAGAGTGCAAGGTGTAATCTGTTAAAGCTTGCTGTTACTCTAACGAGGGTAATTGTATGCAATTCAGCTTTATAGAAGTGTTCACGGAGTGTGCACAATTTATTAATTAAGTTATTTTATTTTATTTATGAAAAATTAATTTTTTTGTTTTATGAGTGTACACGGATTGTCCACATTAATTTATTTATAGTGTACATGGAGTGATTTCACAATTCACGTGTTGTCCACGATTTGAATCTCGTTTTGATTTAATTCTTTTTGTTGTTTAGTATATACTTGTTGTTTGATAAAGTATATACCAGTTGATATTGAAGGTAATGCACTATGTAGTTTTTCTATTTTTTGAGGCACACACCTTATTTGGATTTATGAGGATGCTCAAGTTGGACACGGAGGACTAATCTACTTGGACTTTATTTTATTTTGTTTTCAAACATTGACTGGCACAAAAAAGGTTTTTATAATATAATTCTCGCATTTCACATGTGCTGCCTTTTGGTCTATTGCAGGGGTCTCCAAACTTTCTAACCAAAGGGCCAGTTTACTGTCCTTCAGACTTTAGAGGGGGCCAGACTGTGGCCATTGGGTGTAGAAAAGGTCCCGGCATCAGTGGGAATAGACAATACCCCATCTTTGGTGTCAGTGGGAGGAACTGCACCCCATTTTTTTGTCAGTGTGGAAAGAATTGTGCCCCATTGTTGGTATCAGTGGGAGGAACTGTACCCCATTGTTGGTTTGATTGAGAGGAATTGTGCCCCATCATTGGTGCCATTGGGTGGAATTGTGCCCTATCATTGGTGCCATTGGGTGGAATTGTGCCCCATCATTGGTGCCATTGGGTGGAATTGTTTTCCATCATTGGTGCCATTGGGTGGAATTGTGGCCCATCATTGGTGCCATTGGATGGAATTGTGGCCCATCATTGGTGCCATTGGGTGGAATTGTGCCCTATCATTGGTGCCATTGGGTGGAATTGTGCCCCATCATTGGTGCCATTGGGTGGAATTGTGCCCCATCATTGGTGCCATTGGGTGGAATTGTGCCCCATCATTGGTGCCATTGGGTGGAATTGTGCTCTATCATTGGTGCCAGCGGGTGGAATTGGGCCCCATCATTGGTGCCATTGGGTGGAATTGGGCCCTATCATTGGTGCCATTGGGTGGAATTGTGCCCCTTCATTGGTGTCAGGGGGGGGAATTATACACCAATGTTGGTATCAGTAGATGAAATAGTGCCCCAAGGGCCAGATAAAAGCAAGAAAAGGATCACATTCGGCCCCAGGGCCACAGTTTGGAGACCACTGGTCTATTGGAACTAACAGGACATGTTTATTTTCTCACAGCGAACACACCACTCAGAACATATGTGCCCTATGGGCTTCAATGGACCAGGAGCTGGTCCATGCGTGACATGAAACTAGTAGGACGTGACCCTTTATGTCATTCACATGTCCTGGTTCTTGGCCTATTAAAACCTATAGGCCATGTTCATTTTCACAACGCATATGCCTACTCAAAATGAATGTGCCTTTTAAGCTTTGCATCTCCACATCTATTGAAACTTACAGGGCGCCTTTGTTTTTGCACACGCTGCCTCTTGGCCTGCTGAAATTATTGGGACGTTTGTTTTTGCACATGCTGCCTCTTGGCCTATTGAAAACTAATAGGGCACAATCGTTTTTGCACTGCTAAAAACAAACACGGCCTATTCATTTCACTAAAGCAAGAAGCAGCAGATGTGTGAGGTGTTCTGGAAGGCACTGGTCGGGTAGCCCTTCCAGGAAGCAGATGTGAGGATCTGTCTACATCACCAGCGCCTCACCAGACCAGGAAGTGGGCAGATATAAAGACTGAACTTCACAAGACTTTATTGTAACAAAGGACTGTATGACGATTTGATGTAATTGTGCAGAGATACAGTACATATAGGAGCTTTATTTGTTCTGGAAGGCAGTGGTGGGGTAGCCCTCCCAGGAGGCAGCTATGAGAACCTGTCTACATCACCAGCAGCTCACCAAACCAGGAAGTGGGCAGATATAAAGTGTAAGCTTCACAAAACTTTATTGTAACAAAAAGGACGGCCTGATGATTTGATGTCAGTGTGCAGAGAGACATGTAGGAGTCATTATTTCTGGATTGCACTGGTGGGGTAGCCCTCCCAGGAGGCAGCTATGAGGACCTGTCTACATCACCAGCGCCTCACCAGACCAGGAAGTGGGCAGATATAAAAACTGAACTTCACAAATCTTTATTGTAACAAAGGACTGTATGACGATTTGATGTAATTATGCAGAGATACAGTACATATATGAGCTTTATTTGTTCTGGAAGGCAGTGGTGGGGTAGCCCTCCCAGGAGGCAGCTATGAGGACCTGTCTACATCACCAGTGCCTCACCAAACCAGGAAGTGGGCAGATATAAAGTGTAAGCTTCACAAATCTTTATTGTAACAAAGGACGGCCTGATGATTTGATGTCAGTGTGCAGAGAGACATGTAGGAGTCATTATTTGTTCTGGAAGGCACTGGTCGGGTAGCCCTTCCAGGAGGCAGATGTGAGGACCTGTCTATATCACCGTGCTTCACCAGACCAGGAAGTGGGCAGATATAAAGACTGAACTTCACAAATCTTTATTGTAACAAAGGACTGTATGATGATTTGATGTAATTGTGCAGAGATACAGTACATATATGAGCTTTATTTGTTCTGGAAGACAGTGGTCGTGTAGCCCTCCCAGGAGGCAGCTATGAGAACCTGTCTACATCACCAGCAGCCTCACCAAACCAGGAAGTGGGCAGATATAAAGTGTAAGCTTCACAAAACTTTATTGTAACAAAGGACTGTATGATGATTTGATGTCAGTGTTCAGAGGGACATGTAGGAGTCATTATTTGTTCTGGAAGGCAGTGGTGGGGTAGCCCTCCCAGGAGGCAGATGTGAGGACCTGTCTACATCACCAGACCAGGAAGTGGGCAGATATAAAGTGTAAGCTTCACAAATCTTTATTGTAACAAAGGACTGCCCGATGATTTGATGTCAGTGTGCAGAGACATGTAGGAGTGATTTTATGAGGGAAAGGTCCTCTTTAAGCAATAGTGAGGTGATATCAGGGCCAGGAAGGACACAATAATGAAGCATGCAACACTCAGACCCCAGTTTTCCTGTCACATATTCCCACACAGGTATGCGGGGAGCCATGTCAGCCAGGGACACTTCCCAGGCCACGTCCTGCCCCTGTCAGCCATGCACACAGCTCGCCTGGCCTGTCCCCTGCAGTCACCCTCCCCCTCCTCCCCATCCACTGCGCCTGCGCGCCCGGGCGCAGCCTCCTCCGGGCCTTGCAGTACGTGACGTCAGCAGCCTCCGCCCTCCGCCGCTTTGCTGCATCACCAGCTGAGTGCCCAGGCCCCGAGCACCCCCAGCACTGCATGCACTGCCCGTACCGGAGGAGACATGGCCAAATCCGAGCAGGTCCTCGTCCTGGAGCCCCAGCATGAGCTCAAATTCAAAGGTAGGGGCCCCCGGGGGTAGAGGGAGGGGGGCATTGCACAATATCCTCAGATCGGAGCGTGTGTGCCGGATGTGATCGGAGCTTGGTGTCCTGAGGGGGGCTGAGTGTGTGATCAGAGCCCTGTGTGCACAACATGGGACCAGCACTGGGGGTGGGGCATACAATCTTCTACAGGACAGGTGTGTGTGTCCCCATCACACATTGTACACGGATGTGTGTGTCCCCATCACACATTGTACACGGATCTCAGGAGTGTGTGTCCCCATCACACATTGTACACGGATCACAGGAGTGTGTGTCCCCATCACACATTGTACACGGATCTCAGGAGTGTGTGTCCCCATCACACATTGTACACGGATCTCAGGAGTGTGTGTCCCCATCACACATTGTACACGGATCACAGGAGTGTGTGTCCCCATCACACATTGTACACGGATCTCAGGAGTGTGTGTCCCCATCACACATTGTACACGGATCTCTCAGGAGTGTGTGTCCCCATCACACATTGTACACGGATCTCAGGAGTGTGTGTGTCCCCATCACACATTGTACACGGATCTCATTGTACACGGATTGGAGTGTGTGTCCCCATCACACATTGTACACGGATCACGGGTTGTGTGTCCCCATCACACATTGTACACGGATCACGGGTTGTGTGTCCCCATCACACATTGTACACGGATCACAGGAGTGTGTGTCCCCATCACACATTGTACACGGATCTCAGGAGTGTGTGTCCCCATCACACATTGTACACGGATCACGGGATTGTGTGTCCCCATCACACATTGTACACGGATCACGGGATTGTGTGTCCCCATCACACATTGTACACGGATCACGGGATTGTGTGTCCCCGTCACACATTGTACACGGATCATGGGAGTGTGTCCCCCCGTCACACATTGTACACGGATCATGGGAGTGTGTCCCCCCGTCACATTGTACACGGATCGCGGGAGTGTGTGTCCCCCCGTCACACGTTGTACACGGATCGTGGGAGTGTGTGTCCCCCGTCACACGTTGTACACGGATCGCGGGAGTGTGTGTCCCCCGTCACACGTTGTACACGGATCGCGGGAGTGTGTGTCCCCCCGTCACACGTTGTACACGGATCGTGGGGTGTGTGTGTGTGTCCCCCCGTCACACGTTGTACACGGATCGCGGGAGTGTGTGTGTGTGTCCCCCCGTCACACGTTGTACACGGATCGCGGGAGTGTGTGTGTCCCCCCCCCCGTCACACGTTGTACACGGATCGCGGGAGTGTGTCCCCCCGTCACACGTTGTACACGGATCGCGGGGAGTGTGTCCCCCCCCGTCACACGTTGTACACGGATCGCGGGAGTGTGTCTCCCCCGTCACACGTTGTACACGGATCGCGGGAGTGTGTCCCCCCCCGTCACACGTTGTACGCAGATTGCGGGAGTGTGTGTGTGTCCCCATTACACGTTGTACACGGATCGCGGGAGTGTGTGTGTGTCCCCCCGTCACACACTGTACATGTTCTCAGATCATATACATATATAGTATATCACGTGTTCTGTATGTACAGCTGGGATGTAGAAGCATCACTGATGTATTTATTGTCACATCTCATAGGCCATGAATGACATTGTACATCATAGTACATGTGTTTGGTCCATGTATGTTATTCTGCTGCTCTCACACGTCATACAGAAGATGACTGACATACATATATCATGTATACTTATTCCAGTGATCACCGCATTGTACATGATATTAAATGGTGTATATGTACTCTGGAGCTCTCATACAGAATAGGACACACATTGGGTCACATGTCACATACATGATCATTCCTGTCTTTGTATACACCGTGTAGGTCTATAGACGTATACATGGCCATGGTATGGGATTCTCTATGGGGAACCTGATGTAACCCTGAATCAAAGCTGATTCACCACAACTGGAAGGCATGAGGCTGCCTGACCACTGGACCGGGACCTGGAGTAGGCCGGGCCCCTTATAGACTCCCTGTCTGATTGGCTGACCACTGTACAGGTACCAGGAACCATGCAGTAGGCCGGGCCCCTTATAGACTCCCTGTCTGATTGGCTGACCACTGTACAGGTACCAGGAACCATGCAGTAGGCTGGGCCCCTTATAGACTCCCTGTCTGATTGGCTGACCACTGTACAGGTACCAAGAACCATGCAGCAGGCCGGGCCCCTTATAGACTCCCTGTCTGATTGGCTGACCACTGTACAGGTACCAGGAACCATGCAGCAGGCCGGGCCCCTTATAGATTCCCTGTCTGATTGGCTGACCACTGTACAGGTACCAAGAACCATGCAGCAGGCCGGGCCCCTTATAGACTCCCTGTCTGATTGGCTGACCACTGTACAGGTACCAGGAACCATGCAGTAGGCCGGGCCCCTTATAGACTCCCTGTCTGATTGGCTGACCACTGTACAGGTCCCAGGAACCATGCAGTAGGCCGGGCCCCTTATAGACTCCCTGTCTGATTGGCTGACCACTGTACAGGTACCAGGAACCATGCAGTAGGCCGGGCCCCTTATAGACTCCCTGTCTGATTGGCTGACCACTGTACAGGTACCAGGAACCATGCAGTAGGCTGGGCCCCTTATAGACTCCCTGTCTGATTGGCTGACCACTGTACAGGTACCAAGAACCATGCAGCAGGCCTGGCCCCTTATAGACTCCCTGTCTGATTGGCTGACCACTGTACAGGTACCAGGAACCATGCAGCAGGCCGGGCCCCTTATAGACTCCCTGTCTGATTGGCTGACCACTGTACAGGTCCCAGGAACCATGCAGTAGGCCGGGCCCCTTATAGACTCCCTGTCTGATTGGCTGACCACTGTACAGGTACCAGGAACCATGCAGCAGGCCGGGCCCCTTATAGACTCCCTGTCTGATTGGCTGACCACTGTACAGGTACCAGGAACCATGCAGCAGGCCGGGCCCCTTATAGACTCCTGTCTGAGCCACTGTCTACTCCCTGTCTGATTGGGTGACCACTGTACCAGGAGCCATGCAGCAGGCCGGGCCCCCTACAGCTTCCATTCCTGACAGGCCGGCCACTGTACAGGTACCAGGAGCCAGACATCAGGCCGGGCCCCTTCTAGCTTCCCTGGATGACAGGCCAGCCACTGTACTGGTACCAGGAGCCAGACATCAGGCCGGCCCCCCCCCAGCTTCCCCATTCCCGTTTCTCCCTGATAGGAGGGTATTTTGGGAGCAGGACGTTACCCCAAAGGCTTTAAAGTCTAATAAAAGCCGTGATTCATGGCGCTAATATCGGGACATCCAGGCACTATATATAGTTGGATTCTTTGGCCTCTCGCATGTTCGCATTAGGCGGCGTCGTGTCCTGGAAGTGAATGAAAACGGTGATTGTACAGATCGGGCTGCGATTGCTGCGTGTGTGTGGGGAGACGGATGGAATGTCTCGGGGAACGGTGATTGTACAGATCGGGCTGGGATTGCTGCATGTGGGGAGACTGATGGAAAGGCTCCCATACAGGAATGTCTCGGGGAATGGTGATTGTACAGATCGGGCTGCGATTGCTGCGTGTGGGGATGGATGGAAAGGCTCCCGTACAGGAATGTCTCAGGGAACGGTGATTGTACAGATCGGGCTGCGATTGCTGCATGTGGGGATGGATGGAAAGGCTCCCGTACAGGAATGTCTCAGGGAACGGTGATTGTACAGATCGGGCTGCGATTGCTGCGTGTGGGGATGGATGGAAAGGCTCCCGTACAGGAATGACTCGGGGAACGGTGATTGTACAGATCGGGCTGCGATTGCTGCGTGTGGGGATGGATGGAAAGGCTCCCGTACAGGAATGTCTCAGGGAACGGTGATTGTACAGATCGGGCTGGGATTGCTGCATGTGGGGATGGATGGAAAGGCTCCCGTACAGGAATGACTCGGGGAACGGTGATTGTACAGATCGGGTTGCGATTGCTGCATGTGGGGATGGATGGAAAGGGCCCCGTACAGGAATGACTCGGGGAACGGTGATTGTACAGATTGTGCTGCGATTGCTGTGTGTGTGGAGACGGATGGAAAGGCTCCCGTACAGGAATGACTCGGGGAACGGTGATTGTACAGATCGGGCTGCGATTGCTGCGTGTGTGGGGAGACAGATGGAATGACTCGGGGAACGGTGATTGTACAGATCGGGCTGCGATTGCTGCGTGTGTGGGGAGACAGATGGAATGTCTCGGGGAACGGTGATTGTACAGATCGGGCTGCGATTGCTGCGTGTGGGATGGATGGAAAGGCTCCCGTACAGGAATGTCTCGGGGAACGGTGATTGTACAGATCGGGCTGCGATTGCTGCGTGTGGGGATGGATGGAAAGGCTCCCGTACAGGAATGTCTCGGGGAACGGTGATTGTACAGATCGGGCTGTGATTGCTGCATGTGGGGATGGATGGAAAGGCTCCCGTACAGGAATGTCTCGGGGAACGGTGATTGTACAGATCGGGCTGCGATTGCTGCATGTGGGGATGGATGGAAAGGCTCCCGTACAGGAATTCTCGGGGAACGGTAATTGTACAGATCGGGCTGCGATTGCTGTGTGTGTGGGGAGACAGATGGAATGACTCGGGGAACGGTGATTGTACAGATCGGGCTGCGATTGCTGTGTGTGGAGACGGATGGAAATGTCTCGGGGTTTGGACCATAATGACATGGAATCCAATGGGGAAATGCTGTTCCCTGAATACAAATGTTGGTAGGAGCTCACGATGTACGGAGCCAGAAAATATTTCCGTAAAGTAAGCCCCAAATGGCGATAAAGCGCAGGATTGGCTGAGATAATCCCCCCCCCCCTCATGAATAATTACTGACATCATCTGATTTCTTCCACACTGATGAGGAGTTAACCCCGTGTGACCCCAGAAAATCTATTACAGCGTATGGTGAGGTTTACTGTACATAGGTGGGAAGGACACATCAATACAGGCGGTGTTCACTGACACATCAGTGTTGTCATATGTCCC